TACATTATATTGTTCAATTTTCTACTATGCGTATAATAATAATAATAATAATATGACAGTATGCAATTTATATATAGAGTGTAAAAATATTACGTTTTAGACTTTAAGTCAAAGATAATGGTATGCACTTATACCACTTAATGTAAAATTCTTAAATACTTTGATAGAGTAGTATGTATAACCCAGTTATAGGCCTCAAGTAGAGTATAACAAATTGTAATAATTTGTTGTTTCAATTTTACTACTACAAACACCAGTAGCACAATAATACTATTAAATAACTAGGAATAAGTGAATAGCCAAAAAAATAAAAAGTAGATTAATTAATATTATAAATTAACTGTTTATTGGTATAAACGGGTAGTAATTATTTGATATGACTTACTTTTTCAATTGATCCTAATGTACTTTATCTTTTTTTAAAGGATAAAATCATACCCACAACAGTAGATATCATATTATTATAATATCAAATGATCTATTCAATATCAAAAAAATATACATAGTAATTTTAAATTAATAATATGCCTATATTGTATTATTTACAAATTATAATATGCGTCATATACAACGCGTAATATATATATATATATATTTTTTTTGAGTGTACTGAAATTATTTAAGAAAAATAATGTTTGCGACCGCGTGGCATTTGTATGACACAATAAATCAATATTAATACGACTGGATTTATTTGGATTTTTAAATTATGGAACTGTCAACCATTTTATAGATGAATGTACATTTTTCAGAACAATTGAAAAACGACACATCTGTACATCAATTTAAAAAAAAAAACCTTTCATACGGTATACGAACTGTAATTATATATTATTAATGACAGCTAACGATAGTCGATAAACAATCAACCCTTAAATGACATTTAGGAATGTCCCGTGATATCGTTATTGTGGTCGACAATAGGCCGACCGGGTTCTATCCCTATGGATATTTGTGTTTTAGCAAAACTCATATTTTTATTATTATGCTTTCTATTAGATATCGACGTAGCGTAAAAATGGTAACTGATTTGATTTTTATAAACTATAATTTTTTATCGTTTAAAGTCTTATATAAAGTCTTTGGCGTGTAGATTAAAATAAATCAATATATTGAAGCATACCTAAATAACAGTAGGTACACAAATAAAATTATGTATAACTATAGTAAAAACAAATAGTTGATACATTTAATACTTTTAACAATATTATTATTTGTTGTTTTCACTTATTAAAACAAAGTATTTTCCTACTAATTTGATGGCTTAATTAAATTATCAATTATTCACATTTCAATATTGAATTTAATCGAGTTAATTAAAAATATGTCTGTTTAATCATTATAATTTAAACTACCAATGTTTGATGATCACATTTTATTTACCCTGATAACAATAATTTAAAGGATTTTGATTCTTTTGACGGTGGAACATTGTCATACAGAATAACATAATTTATATGGTACTGTTAGGTATGTTTATTCTGAATAGTATATCAAGTATATGTAACTTTACATTGCATTAATTAACAGATAATTTATTACGCGTTGTCTCTAGTCAAAATCAGTTTAAAATAATACATATTATATCATAAATTTAAATATTTATTTTTTATAATTCATTTATCAATACAGCTAGAGTAAAATGTCTAAGTTTAAATTGATCAAAATATTAAATACTACTCTATTTATAACCATTAAATAATTTAAAATTTATTTCAATTATTTTCCTAGAACAGTAGGACATGTATCCAAAAACAAATACTGTCCTTATTAAATTAGTCCACCTGTTCATCATAATTATATTATACATGATATATTATCAATTATCATTATGTTTTATATTTTCAACACTGGTTATGTTTATTGCTCTGTAGTCTGTTAACTATAGTTATGTATTAAATTCTTTAAGAATAATATTTTTCTAATTTTGCATCAATGATGTTGTATAGTAAATTAAATAGTGAAAATTATAGAAAGAAAAAGATCATAAACATAATGATGTAAAAGAAAAATGAAAAAGCTTAATAATTTTTTAATCTATCAAAAATATTACAATTAAATAAAGCAACCCTGTTGTATATCTACATCATCAGTCACAAAAAAATAATATATTTTTAAATTAATTCATTATATATTTTTGTATAGACATAAAGATTGGTAAATAAATTGGAGGGGGCTCTTAGCTCTTATTTCAGTTTTTTTTTTTTAAAAATAGAAATAAGAGCGTTTATTCTTTATTTGTCCAGGAGCGTCTTTTAGGTAAATCTGGCCCCGGTAATCCATGTTAATGCACCAGTCATAGGCTTTCTCATGCCGTATTTGTTGTGATTAATTTTTATTACAATGTAAAAACTTAGGACTAAGTGACTAGTGCCCTAAATTTTTTTTTTATAATTTAAATATAGGATAAGTACTTATGTTAATCAATTTTAAAGTACCTATTACGTTAATATATATATATAATAAATACTAATAATATGTCCCATCAGTAAGTTATGTTTCGTGTGTATAAGCCACGCAGTAAATATACGTTTCGATGCAAAATTTAATTTCAGGAAAATATTGAAAGTGGATACTCGTCATAACAAAATACGTACGATGCCTCTGAAGCAATATTACACAGATATTATAAAATAAAATTATGGCAATTTTGAAAAAACAACATCATATTTTCACCTGTAAAGATATATTTGCAAAAATCGTCGGATATATCAAATGTAGTCAATATTTTGTAGCTTACACCATTTAATTATATAGAAATAAAACGTATAATAACATAGTCATATTAATAAATACAGTCATATACACAAATTTACTTACAAAGCCGTGTATAATACATTTACATAGGGATTACGCACGAAAGTGTCATAATGTCAAACATATTACAATTTATAATATTATATATTATATTAGGTATACAATACTATACATATATGAAGGTGGTTTATCGAATACAATTATTATTAAACCATAAACGTTTTTATTAATATTATATTATTGTAAGATTTTGTTGTGTATATATAAAATAGTATTAAAATGGTCACTAGATATTGAACTTTTATATTATTATTTTATATACGTATCAATATATTAAACTATAGAGTGTTCTTTAGAACTACACAATATATTCAGTTAATTATTATATACTTATTAAGTGACGAGTAGTGTTGAACAAAAATAATTCAAAAACTTATCTGAATATAAGATTATGTCGATAATGCTTAAAATATTAAATAGATAAAAGAAAAAATGATATTAATATAAAACTCACGCTAGTAAAATAGCTTTTTTGTTAAAAATGTAATAATATGAGTTTTAGAAGTTTAAATTTGAACTAAATATTTTAAATAAAATTATTTTTATTTGGGTTTCAAGGGAATAAATAAACAATATATACTTTAAGAAAATAACTATACAGTAAATCAGTAAAACATAAGTAATAAATAAATATTAACGCACATGACAATCAAATTGAATAAATAGGCTATATCTACCCAATATAATGCTTAGAAAAATTAATACCTATGATATACAAAAAAAAAATATATTAAAAAATTATAAAGATAATTTATTTTAGGCAACCATTTTATTTAAGTATATAGATAAAAGATATTCTAAATTATTTAGATAATACACAATACAGACGATGAGAACCTATAAACTGTAATTTGTATTACAAAAATGGTTGCAGATAATAGATATTCATATTCGTCAGCGTTAAATTTACGAACAATGGCCATGTCGTTTATTAGCACTACTTGTGCACCGCATTATAATATTATGGGAACTCTGTGTAGCTATTTATAAATAAACTATATTTTATTGTTATTATAATGGTATACTGGGTCACGCAAATTGACCAAAGAAAAAATATGAAAAAAAACTCGAAGAGGAACCACGAGGCGAGAAAGTCGTAAAACAATGCATTTGCGTAATAATCAATCACCGTGAAAAAAAAATTGAAAAAAAAAAACGAAACGCTTCTACCAGAAACAATTAAAATAACGACGGTCAGAGATTATAATAATAATATAGGCGTATAGCATGGTTTTCGTTTAAAACGCGAAATACAATGTAATACGCGCGCGACGTCTAAGAAAACTGATTTCTACGGGTTGTCGATGATGCGTCACTGTGAGCGATTTGTTTTTCTTATATTATGCGTCTGATTGGTAACAGGGCGGAGAGGAGTGAAAAATAGAAGAAAAATTAAACTGCGTTTACCGATTATCACAATATTATTATGTGTATAATTTTGTGATATTCGGTACGGCGAAGAAATAAAATGAAAAGAGGTAACGTCAACGCCGCGTCCTTACGTCGAATCATCGCCAATTGATTTGGTTTCGACGGGTAAATTCTCAATGGAAAAATGAAAAAAAAATTAAAATTTATTCAGTAACTACAACGATAACATTCTAGGAAAAAAATCGTCTTGCGTCCTTTAACGACATCCCTCTCGTCTAGCCGTCGCGGATCGTTAAGCGATAGTGATAATAACGACGACAATGATAACACAACGACAATAACAACAACAACAACAATAATAATAAGAAGAAAAATAGTAACGGAAATTACTATCATTATTATACCGAAAAAATGTTTCACGCGCGGACGTCTGACGAAGAAAACGCCGCGAGACCGCGCCACCGTCGATCGCCCGGCAGGTCGCGCGCTCCCCAGCAGTGAGTGTTTCGCCGCATACGTCTGAAAGGAGCGCACCAGTCACCAGTCAGTCCGGTGTCCGACGTCAAGTTGTTTAGTATACGCACCGCCGTACGACTGTGTTCACTCGTGTTTATTAGTTGTCACTCGTGCGTGTTTTTGTTTTATATATTTTTGTCGTCGATCGTCATAGTAATACCGTCTAGCACTTGAGCCATTTGTTTTGATTATTGTGACTAGTTATTATTATTTCTTTTTTTTATATAATATTATTTGGTTTATTAAAATTTTTTTTTTTCTGTTTTGGTGATCTAAGAAAAAATATTGTTAATTATTTAAAGAATAATAAATAAAATCTGGTGATAAAGAAATTATTAAAGTCTACAGTATTCGTATTATTATTAAATCGAGTTTCGTGCGCCAGATGCTCGCAGTGACCGTCGCCAGTGTTCCTCGTCGTCGGTGTCTCCAGAAGGAGTATCGCTGTTAACCGCGTGCGCGCGTGTGTCGTCGCCGTAGGGCGAACTTCGGCGTGTGTGTTTGTCGCGCGCAGCCGTCGTCGTCACACCCGATGGCTCTGAACGCCACTACGTGTTACAACAAGGCGGTGATCGCGGGCTACGGGTCGTCGTACCCCAGCCCGCTGGCCGCCGCCGCCGGCGTACCGTCCGCGCTGATGGTGGCCGCGGCCGCAGGATCCGCGGGCGGATCGCCGTCGTCTAGGTCCGGGTCGTCCGGGTCCGGTACCGGGCCGTCCGGGTACCGCGTCAAGGACTTCAACGTGCCCCTGCACGTCGACTGCAGCGTCGAGTACGAAATGCCCAGCTCGGCCAAGCCGCCGGTGGGTGGCAAGGTCGAGCCGCTGCTCATGATACACCCGTCGTATTACCGGAAGGCCGAGAGCCGGACCCGCAGCTTGTTCGTCAACAACATGCCCGCCGCCGCTTCCGCATCGTCCGGTCGGAGCAGACCCTCGGTCGCCGCGGCCGCGGTCGGTGGCGTCTGCGGTAGGTCGGCCGCCATCGCGAACGCCGCCGACGGACCGCCCGCGAAACCGTACGCCGGACCCGCGCCCGGAGTGACCGCGTCCACCGCGGCCGGCGTTTACGGCATGGTCACCGGTGCCGCGGCCGCCGCCGCCGGCGCGTCCCAGTGGCCCCCGTTGGGCTCCAGCGCCGAGCACCAGCACCACGACGGCAAACGCACCCTGGACATGGTCCAGCGGCAGTACCAACAGCACCTGCAGGCCAGTCTGCCACCGCCGATGATGACGGCTGCCTTGCCCACCGACAAAACCCACATGACAGGTTAGTTGACGGATTCTACGCTCACCTATACACCATAATGTGATATGCATTTTAATGTTTTGTTGTGTAGGAAAATACTCTACGCCGTCGAATTATTGTTCGATGTAATATTGTAATCGATTGTTACGCGAACGGCACTGATCCGTTTGTGTTGGTTAAGGGTTCTCGAATAGAATATAAATGTTGAAAGTTTAATTTTTAATTCGGCTGACAATGTAAGATATATCAAATAGGGACTGTTTTGTTGCACTTCCCTTCGGTCACCGTTTTTCCTCGTCATTTTAGGTATTATATAGTTTACGGTAACGATGTATTCGAATACTTTTCTTTTCAAACGATCAATTCCGGTTTTTTTTTTTTTCTTACGCGCTTGTTCGTTATTTTTTCTATCGCGGTTTGAGAACTAAAAAATCTCGAATGACAACGTTTTAATCTTGTATTTGATCCGTATTTCGACGTCGTACGTGTTTGGCCACTCGAATTTTTGTCATATCACTGTACCAAATTTTTCGAAAAACAAAAACGGTAAATAGGTATGAAAAATGTTTAATATGATAACGGTGTCCGGCCGGCGCCTGCTTGTCTTATCGTAATCTGAGGCAGAAAATAATTGGTTCAGTAAATGAATGTAATCGTATACCTACGAGTTTTCTTATTTCTAATTTATTCATCGAATAAAACGCGTGTACATCGAAAACAAAAACCAATTATATCATCCCGTCGCGTTTTTGGCTCGTTCCCTCCTACCTATAACTTTTTACTAGTAAACATTCCGTTTCGCTTTGCATTTTTACAATTTGGCAGTGGAACGTGGGATGTCTGTCAGCGGAGGGTGGTGTCGCCTGTACATTTTAATATTTTAAAAGTTTATCAAAAAAAAACTACCAATTTTTTAGCGTATTGTCGGCGAATAAAAAATTAGTATTCCTCCGGTGCCAGGGGCCCATCGTTTGCACAAAGAACGCGAGCCCCGTACACGAAAGGGGGCGGGAAAGAGCAGGGTTTTTTTTATCACATTTACGTCCGTAATTAACGTTGATTTATAGGTCCAAAAAAGAGAAAAAGAAAAAAAGGTATTAGGTGAGGGTTTAAAGAAGAAACCTTTGTTAATTACACACCGAGCGAGTTTAAAAATGAAAAAACCGTATACCCTTTGAAACCCGGACTGTATTTAATATTATTATTTTTATATTTCTTGTTGGATAACTTCATTTCGGAAATCGAGAGAAATTCCTCCGTGAAAAGTTTTCCGGGAATAACACCCCTTGTCAAAGAGCTAGTACTAAGGCAGTACATTAAATCACAGCAGTGCCGACTTCACTTAACACTTTACACTAATTACATGTGCTTTATTATTATTTATATTTTTTTCAAGCGCAACTCGCGTATTTCATTTAATTCTGTTTTGTTTTCACCCGTGGTTATGTAGAGCCTTGTCCCTGGGGGCCTTGCTAATAAATTACAATAACAACACTGTCGCCGTCACCGATAAATTATTATGGCCTAAGGTTTATAAGCCTTCCAAATTCTACAAATCGTGCAAACGCTTTCGATTTTATATTCATTTTTTTTTTTTTTTATTGTACAATCCAAACGGCATTTTAAAAGAGTTCCCCCACCTCCCGCGTGAACCGCTACAGACAATATCACGAAACGATAAACTTTCTTGTCCAATTTACATTTAATATGTAGATTTGTTTCGGCGTATCAACTTTCAAACGACCTTGTGCCTGAAATTTGTTCTTAATAACAAACGAATTTGGTATCCGTACGGCGTGCATATAAAAAAAAAACACGTTGAGGCAATATATATTTTTTCGGCTAATTGAACAGCTACTAAAAATCGCCCGTCTTTGGCCACAAGAGTGTGTGCACATTTAAATACTAATTAATGTTTAGCGCACGTTCTTACTCGGTCATTATAACAGGTGTGTTGTCCCGACAGAGATATTTCGCCTGTTGGCGACAGCGATTATGACTGCGATAATAATAATCATTATCGTAAAAAAAAAAAAAAATTGAACGACTAAAAGTTCTACAAAATATTTATAATACTTTTCACGAAATCAGAACCACCGTGTGCGGTGTCCGAAGACGACGCGAAATGAAATTTCCAATTCGGCTCGATAGCGTCTTCTGAACTTTTGTATCAGCAGTTTTGTTCGTTTATCGTGACGTGTAGACCCTGCAACAGCTGCAGCAGTACCTACGTCTAATGATTATGATAATAATCGTTTTTTATTATTTTTTTTTTTTTTTTTTTTCATCATAATAATTATCATCATCAACGTGGTCGTTATTATTATATTATTCTAACACGTCTGCGAGAAAAAAAAGATAATAATAATAATAATAACAACAGTATGTGTGTTGTGTGTACCGTGTGATGTCTATTGAAATTTTGCTCATGACTCATGCATAACGTGCGAGCCGCCGCCGATACTCCGCGCACAATGGTGTCAGACCGCTGAAACGGATACGGTGTATACGCTCATTGTATTCAGATATTACGGCATACACACTCGCACACACATTTGGTCATCCTTTTCAAATATACACTCGCGAGTGAGAATGTGTGTGTGTGTGTGTGTGTGTGTGTCACTTGTTGTTGTTAATGGCTTCGCATACGTTCGCGTCCCGTAGTACGACGACAATGCGCTCGAGCCTCGTGTACGTTACACAATTGGCGGCGGGGGGCCTCGGGGGAGTCGTGTCGAAATTTATCGTCTTCGAAAAAGGCGACGGGTAAATGATAAGATATGAAAAAAGAATAATAATGGTACGAGAGCGTCGTGTGAGTAAACGCGATAGCGTGTGCGATGTGAGGAACAAATTTTTTTCTTCGTACTTTCAGCCCATTACCTACCTATTATATTATCATTATATACGTATACCTGCAACCGGCTCAGCATAAACTGCGAAGTGCGTTTTTTTTTTTTTGTCTTGTGTTTTATTTACGCAGAGAATAGATAAGAAGACCGATTTTGACCAACAGCCGTTTTTTTTTTTTATTATATATATTTTAATTTTTTATTATCTAGCCATAAAATGATTATACGCAGTAGTAAGCGGAATTTTGTTTTTTATCCCGGAAATTCGCTGCGTCCGTTTTTATCGCCGCGTAGTAGTAAAGTTTACGTTTACAATGAAATCTACTGCTGTAGTAACCGATTTTCCGGTAATGCGTTTAGAACGGCGTAAAGGCACGTCGTATAATTTGCAAATGGTTTTCCCTCCTATTCGTTCTGCCGCCATGTTCGACAATTCGTATTTCGCATTATACCATAAATAATACACGTACCTATACGTCATATTGACCATCAAAACGAAATTTTATTTTTGCTATGTGTGTATAAAAATTTAAAATATAATAATATAATAAGTAATAACGAATAAAGTTGTGCGGGAAACAAAATTGTGCCTCAGGATTTAGTTCCTAGACGGCAGACGCTCATATAATATTAATATTTAAATCACATATTCGCATTTTATCGGAACGCTCACGAGTGCGTGAATGTGCAAGATAAAGACGGTGTCAAAATCGTCTGTAGTCTGTAGAGTTTTTGTTTTTAATTTTTTCCATCTCACGTCGCGCGTGAAACGTTTTCATTTTTTTCACACAAATTACGCATACGATGACATATATTATATTTTGTCGACAAAAAAATATATTCCCGCACTCGTTCTTTCAACGAAAGAAATAATGAAAAAATAACACCGTCCCTGTGTCTATGTAGTGTACTCGACACTGGGTATATATATTATACATAATAAATCGTATTTGACCCTAATTTTTGTCGCACGCTCTCGTTTGCTTGAATTCCCCTTACTGCGCAATCCTGTCGTCTAGGTCGTTTATTAGTTTTTCATCTGCAACAGCGTTCTGTCCATCGTCATAAATTGGGTCTTATTAAAATTGATATCACACCCGTTCGTCTGTCGTGTAATTTATTACAAAATATTTTTTAAGTTTTTGCGAGAAGGGTGGTTGGGTTGATCAAAGACAATCTATTATAAGTATTCATGTTTTTATTGCATTGATACGACAATAGACTGAAAAAGATACACACTGTGATTGTATGGGATGGTACATACTATGGCTCATACTTTTAATATCACAATATTATATTGGAAACGTGCGTATATCATTATAACAGTCGGCCGACTTACGATAGCTGTCTTTAGAGTTCCTGTTCCTACATGACGACGACGACGACGGAAATCCGACACACAGTTAGTACGTCTATCGCATAATATATAAGAATGTGTGGCGGTCCGACCACATTACTGTGTGCGTATCCGTGACTTGATGACCTTCCTCGAAATGATTTCACAGAATTTTCGATTTTTTTATAATTTATCAGTATTGTCAAACATTTTTTTTTTAAATTATTTAATTCTCGTTGAACGGTCTGAGGGAAGATAAAAATATTAAGGAAAAAAATGTTTGGCAATGATATCAGTTGTACTATCAACGTACAATAATTTCACTATGTTTAAATTATATTTATATTAAAAGTAGATAATAATAAGTAAATTTATCGATTACTCTATGATTGCCGGTAACCTATTCTTGCTATTCGCCGGCCCCAATTGACCAACGTTTATCGATACGATCGATCTAAATTGTTTAAATTATGATTATTATGCGATTATGTTGCTCTGAGGACGTGCGGTTCCTTATGATTATTATTTATTATCACTGTCTCATAGCATACGATTTTTTCAGTGAATAGACGTGTTTAAATATTTTTATTTCCGAATGTTGTGCGTGGGTATATAATGAAATACGATTTATTTTACTTGGAAAGCATTCGCATTCATGATAATAATGGAATAGTAATATATACAAAAGCTGTGTTTTTATAATATTCAAATGTTTATTTTCTTTTTCGTTTTGCACCAATCCCCCGGTGGGTTTTCCGAAACTCGAACGAGTATACCATACGCACCACATACTGAGAACACGGATCCATGGTAAAAATAAGAAAGAAAGAACATCGACAAAAGAGGCGTTTGATAATGCATGCCCTTTATCAAAAATGTTGATCAATTTTTTCCTCCTTATTCATTCCTTCATCGCAAAATCCACCACCCCCATTGGTTATTTGTGCGTCGTTTCTTTTTGAATACACACTGGTCCGGTTTACTTCGAGCTACGACATCGGCCCAGCGATTTATTGCAATCATTTACAATCGTTACACATTTATAATACTCGTATACAGTCGCGCGCACACACATAGTACATTTGTACAAGAATACAATACACTCAAATATATATTATAATATTATATTTATTATTTTACTGGTAGGTATGAGAGTAAGGTCTTTTCTTTATTCGTGCGGACAGCAATATTATTTATGTGGTCCGCGGAATGTGTGTGTGTATATTATTATTATTGTTAAATATATATATATATATATATATATATATAAAGGGCAATAAACCGTCGGACCGGAAAAATGATAATTTTAAAACGGGCGACCGTCGTTTCAATGTTCATGTATGATATTGTGTATATTATGTTATATTGGATTATGCGTGCGCGTTTTTGTATATAAATTATAAAGTATAAACTGCAACCATCACACCAACAATTTCTATACTACTGAGTGAAAAACAGTTTTTCACTAGATAAACTTTTTACCTGCGTTAAAAATATATTCATGGTAAAACATTTAATTGTATACGTCGTATTTTCTTGCACCGGTTAAGTTATTTATTGACTTCTGGTGGCTGGAGAAACGTACAAAGCTTGATTCATGTTTAATTAGTTTACACCATTTAAACGTTACGAAATAAAATAATATTGTTAAAATTTATAACATAGGTAAAGTAGTAAACAAAAAACATGTACTATACACATTTTTAATTACGAATAATTATGAATGTAAAACGAACGAAAATAGGTCAACCTCGGCCGTCATCTATTAAAAAAATCGAGTATTTTTGCCAATTAAACGTCTATGAAATCATATATAAGTCATGCATCTGCAGCTCATCGTTTTCTTCCAAACGTGCCATGATGTCGGGTTATTGTTGTTGCGATATTCCCAAGATAAATTTACATTTACATTGTTTTTTTCTCGTACTTATTCCCTACCCTTGGCTATACCATCTTGGTTTTCTTATTCTTCCGTGTCGTATAGATAAACATCAGTTGATATATATATATATAGGTTTAATAGTGCCACTGAATTTTTATGCATTAAAACATCAAATTGGTTTATTTTAAAATGTTTTTTTCCGTTTATATAATATAATATTATGCATTCTTCTCTCTTGAGGCTTTCTTAGTAGTACATAATTTCTCCGTGTCTATAAAATAATACAATTTTCTAAGTACGAATTTTATGAGTATAGTAGACATCCCCTATACACATCTATACAATAGAACGGTACTATAAGTTAATAATCATGAAGATTGAATATAATAAATAGTTATATTTTTGCAGCGTTATTCTATTTTTTACGAGCATAATAATTATTATTATCATGGTTCGGTCGGACGTTAATAATGTTATATTTAAATATTTAATTTAAAAGGGCATATGAATAATTCAGTATGCCAGCTTGTTTAATGTACCTATATATAATGTATAATATTATGATTTAATTAAATCACGAAAAAAGTTTTAAAAGAATGATTTCCAGATGACATTTTTTTTTTCCTTTTTTTACGGTTAAAATATTATAGGGACACAAAACTTAAGATCTCGTATATAGTCTTGAGAAAATATTTTCTTTCTAGTTGTTTGAAAAAAACTTTTTATTCAAATCAAAAAAAAAACACTACAGTTTTGTAATTTTAATACAAGTCTATTATGCAGGTAATCGTATAATATACTGCAATTTAATAATTTTTAATGTGATGCCATATTTAAAATTAATTATTTTTGTCATTATAGTTAATTTTTAATGTACCGTCGAGTGAAATCAATTGATGTTAAAATCACGAATTGTTAGGGGTTATGTTGGAAATATAAAACCGATAGACAGTTTTTGAGAGTCGCACGCACTGCACATGTTCAACGAATACATTTGGTCACGTAATTTAATTTATTTGGTTACAGATACTTTGATATTTTTGAACATAATTATTCACATTGAACAGGATTTAAAATAAAAAAATCATTGATTTAATGTAATATCTTTTGATTTAAATACTCACACGAATTTTCCATGACTAGAAAAGCTACGTTACTTTAGATTTGTCGTAATTTTGTTCATTTTAAATTGTTAGTCTTTCTCTTTCCTCTCATGACTAAAAAGTCAACTTTTCTTGCTGTTGAATCATCTGCACGTATAAAAGAAGTTTTTTGATGACAAAAAACTTGCCTCCCTATTCGTTTTCGTTGATCACATTGTATCGCATTTATGAATATAATAAAGGGTTTTCTTTTTATTAAATTGTCGGGGTTTCTTCAGGTTCGAGTAAATAATTAAAAGTAAAGGGAAATTAAAAAAAGGATCAAATAGTTTTAATTAAAAGAAAGAACGAAACAAAAAAAAAATGTAAAGAAAAAAAAACGTGTTCTGATGGCGTTTTTTATTTTTTGTCCATGTTTAGTGCCGAAAGGGTGTTCTTGCTGCCAGGCGAAATTATTAAAGCGCAAAGCCCAACAACCGCCATCGGTGCCTCAACAACAACCACAGCAACACCATATCCACCATCACCAACAACAACAACAACAACAACAACAACTACAACAACAACACTTACCACAAACATCTCATTTACAACAACAACAACACCTCCATCACCATCAACAACAGCAGCAGCAACAGCAACACCATCAACATCTCCATCATCAGCAACAGCAGCAGCAGCAGCAGCAGCAACACCACCATCACCAGCAGCAGCAGCAGCAGCAGCAACAACAACAACACATCCATCACCATCACCATCATCAGCAACAGCAACAACAACAACAACAACAACAACAACAGCAACATCAAGAGTACCACAAGTCGAGGCAAAACGAACCGCCAACTCCACAGCTATGGGGTTTTAACGGTACTATCGCAGCGGTGTTGCGCAACGAGTACGGTAGCAAACCAACGAAAACGTTGGGACGTATCACTGACCCTATCAACAACATCCTGACGCCCACGTACATGTTTTGAGCATCGGAGTTGACATGATATTTTTATTATATTTTGTGATAGTTAGACTGTTTAACAATTTTTTTTTTTTTAAAAAACCGCGTTCGGATCGAATAGATCTACGAAAAAAATATAATATAATAATTAGGTATTGGAGTTGTACGGTAAAATAAACAATATACATACCTATATTATATGTTATCATTATTGTAATATGTCATGTACGCGCGCGTTTAGCGTGTCGTGTACACAAACATAAATATTATGCATAGTTGTAGACCGCGACGAGAATATAATATAATATAACGACGATAATAATAATAATAATAATAATATCATTAACCAAAAACAAAAAAAATATATATATATATATTTATTATATTGTAATAGCGTTCAAGTTTCACCTGTTTTTACTTGCACGTCGCAAAACAATGTTATGTGTTGTGATCATATTATATAGTTATTATCGTTCGTACTATACATTTATAACAATAATTATGATTAATTAACACACGCAAACATTTTTATATCATATTTAATATATTATGTATGTTATTATGTATGCGCGTGCAGTGAAAACAGCGTCCGGCTTACCACCTCGGTGTGGGGCGGGGGTGTCATGTGTCCGCCGCGTAAAATAGTAGTCAAACGTGAGATTTTGTTTTTAGCGGACACCCCTTCCTCATAACCACCGGACGTTTGAAAAATAGAGGTATACGTTTAATATTGTATATGTTCACTTATTTTTTTATTATTTATTTTTTCTAAATACGACGCACGGACTCGACGGTAGGAACGTGCGTCGTCGTCGTGTACAAATATTATATTATAATAATATACTATGATGATTCCATTTTTTTTTCTTCTTCTAGTTCGTGCGTGTCGCTTTTTGTTGTGTTGGCTGTGAAATATTGTGATAATAAAATTTTTAAAAAAATAAATAAAAAGAAGAAAACGCACGAAAAATTAACCACTTGCTGTTTTTCGATAAATTGAGAAAAATACCAACCACCGTTTTCTCCAAGGGTATATTTAATAATATATTGTATTATAATAGATTTCTGCGTAAAGACTGAACGAATATAATATCTTAAAAATAAATTATATGAATAAAAGACTAGCCCTTTTACAGTATATATAATACAATAATAATAATTATATAACAAAACAGTCAGGGGTATGAAAATACTGTATAAGTTCCTTATATGTATAAAAATGAAAATTATACCCTTTTTTTGTTTTCATTGGAATCAGTTTTTAACTTTAGATGTGTTCTGACCGACAATTATTTTTCGTCTGATACCAAACGTAGACGTCATTGTTAAAAAGAAAATAGAAAAAAAAAAAACAAAAAAAAAATTATTTACATTTTTTCGATTCATTGTCGTCATCTTCATCATTATCGTCATAATAATATGATATATACATAAAAGTGTACATTCCTATATAATTTTATCATTATACATATTTACGACTTATTAGGTGTGCCTGTTTAATTTGTGTAATTTTTATCTAGTCTGGTTGGATAATGGGCCAAAGAGCTAAACATACATATTATACAAATAATATATATTATATTTTTTTTCCTACGATAGGGCAAAACATTTACAGTGGGTTCAAGGGGAGGGAGAGAGTTTCGTTCGAAATAATCACTCACAGGCCTAATAATATTAATAATAATGATAATAAGTCTATACGATAGAGACTCGATAACATTCGAGGAAAAAAACGAAAATACACTCGAGTATACATTAGATAATACATTTTTATTTTCTTTACAAACAATAAAAAAATGGTCGGCCTGTGATACACCTTAATAATTAATTCTCTGACATATTTTCCCATTTTTTCGTTATCGTTTAATTTTTTTTTTTTTTTTTGTTTGAAATAACATTTTAAAACGAATGAAATATATAACTATATTGTATTTGTAATATTTATTTTTAGATACCACACGTAATGTTAGTATTCTATTTGTAAATTAGACGTTAGACATATAAATATATTATTATTTTTTTTTTAGCCTGTACAAAAGTTTTTTTTTGTAATTATCCTATTTTCAGGACGTGGTTTATTTGTTAAAAGAAAAATACCTAACATGAGAAAAACAATTTAATAAATACACGAGATTATGTAATGAAAACGCTATTTGATTCGTTATTTATTCTTTATACACTACGTACCTTTATAATATTATAATATTACACTCCTGAGTATAAAATTGTGTGCATTATACAACACACTAAATATATTATATATAATATCTAAGTACGGATTTCTACGTCTGCATTATTAAATGCAACTTTATTTTATTTTAAATAATAATATAATACGCTTGCAATATAAAGTTCTACACAGTATACATAAATAAATCTAATGTACCTATATTTATAAATTTCAAAGTTTTTTTTTTCTTTTACGAAGAAAAATCAAAATCCTCCATCCTTTCCTGTATGCGTATAATTTTGTGCGCTCAAAGGTCATGGAGGGAACTCCTCCAAAGGAGTGCATTTGACATTATAATTATTTAAAGGTCTCTTAGAAGAAATAAAATCTCGGAAATGTCAAAATGAGCAATTATAAAAAAAATTAACAGTTTTTTTTTTGCGGCGGTTCTTCTATGGTTTGATTTGGTCACGGAAACGGCAATGAACAACAGAAAATATTAAAATATGGCAGAATATTTGAAGAAGCAACTACTGGAGCCGCCTATAACCACACTCGAATGGTGTGAACTGTTGTTGTTTGTTCTAAATATATTTTTATTGTTTTCGACTTCCTAGAGGAGTATATTACGATAACTGCAGTAGGCCCGGATAGAACCAGTGAGTCACCGGATTTAACTTTGTGAACCGGACCATATTTTGATACTATATTAATAGTATTGAGCTAAATTTATTGTTCTAACCTATTTTGACGAATTTTGGGGATTAGCAAAAATTCTAAAACTCGTTGAGCCGGTACTTACCATATCCGACTAAGTAACATCTTATTATTCATATATGAATATAATATAAAATTTTGATTTCTGCAATAGTCGTATATGTGGGATTCGATTTATCTGCACGTGTATACAACACATTAGTGATGGAAGATAGGACTTGATTTTCTGATTTCAAAATTAAGAAAACTCCACCTAAATAAATACAAAATATTATGTAATATGGTCATTCTACGTATTGAATTATAGAATAATAATTTTATTCTAATATAATATAGAAACACCGAACGTACATTTAATAAGCAACGGCATCAGATACATTTCGTCTATCCTATGCTTTTAGCGTTTGTATAGTTAGCTGCAAAAATATGTTGTACTTCAAATTTAAATTCATGGGAAAAGACTACACCTGTGTACCATGTTCGTGATTGTTCTAATTTTTATGTAATAATTATGGTTACGAGCTTAGTAGTTATGTTGTAGGACATCAAATTATCATGGAATTATGATAGGTAAGTAAAGCAATCCAATGGCACACGTCATGTTAGAAACTCGACAGACTGACTGTAAAAAAAAAAATATATTCCCATACTAGTCAGTTTTTATTAATTAAACAAAAAAAAAATAAAATAAATTTAAATGTATCTATTTTCATTTATTACATAAGTAACTAGTTATAATTTGCGGATTTTGAGTGAAAATTTGTAATTATTCATTGATTTATAAATAACGCATGCCCTATCAATCATAATATTAAGGATAATTAATATATATGCAAGTCACTTATATAGGCTTACTTGGTGTCTTAATAAATTTAGAAAAAGCTAACTTAACCTATAATCACAACATAATATACATGAGTTTACGCATCTGTTCATTTTCAGCTATCGTTATGCGCAATTCATATTTTTACAAGCCTATGAACAAAACATATAAAATGATAAATATTTCAAATTTTCAAAGAGAAAATGCTTGACTATATAGCTGTGTAATGTACCTACTAATGTGTACACTGTAAATATATTATAATTTAAAGATAAAGTATATATTATTCACATATGATTTTTGGTTGGTGAAGGAATTTATGACAATAAATAATTATATAGATATAAAAGTATTTTACAATACATAATATAATGATGGCAACAATGCCGACCTTTAATAAAATGTATTGTTTTGGTTGTGCGTATATTTATGTTAGTATAGCACGCATACATTTAAGAATAACGTTTTATTCTTGTTCATTTTTTTTTTTGATTTTGAATGAATTACTTTTTAATGGATTTTAGTGACTATAAAATATAATATATACTCGTATTTAGTTATAAAATTTAAATATTCATAGTCAAAAAGCTATCTAATATTTAAAAAAAAATTTAGAGAATTGAATCAAATTTACATATATTATACGATCCATGTGATTCAACATTTGTTTTTAAATATTCACTAAAAAAAATAATTTAGTGTTGTATTAAGTATACCCTTATAGGTACTTAATTTAAAACGTTATATTATAAGAAACAAGAATCGACCAAATAAAATGTGATAGTATAGCTGAACGTGTAAATATATTAGGTCAATGAAACTAAAAAGACAATTGTATATACGTCTATATATAATATATATACATAAAATTTGCGCCACCGCAGTGGTGAAAAAACAATGCCATTTTTGTCTATACGTGGTATTGTGTAATACATTTTTTTTTTAATTTTAAATACAAACTTCGTTGCCGCCGTGATAATAACGTCGGATGACATACACGAAATATATTACGGTCACGTGGTACAACAAAGAACGCCATTTCGAATAAGAAATATAATAATGTGCTTTGTTTTTAATAGACTTTTTTTAAGTGATACAGATAAAAAAAAATGTGTAATGTGAACGTTTAAAGTTTCTAAATTGCCAAACCAATTTGTAGTTTAATAGTCTCGTACGTGTATAAATGTGTATGCGGAAAAAAATTTTAAACGTTCAACCTTAATGTCTGTTTATTGTATATTTTACGATCCAGCGGTTTTTTTTTTTTTTTAGTATCTACTTCGTTATTTCACCGAAATTATATTTAATATGTATCATTCGAAACCCTATAGTATTTATGCATGTGTATATAATATGATATTTTTTTTCTGCCCATTAATCAAGAAAGTTTCTCTGATTTTTTTTCCTCTGCATTTTGGTGTTATTATAAAATATCAAAATATAATACATACCTGAACAAGTTATGACGAGTAAAAACTATTAATATATTATATGTGCATAAAATAAAAAATAAATGTACCTAACTATTAAAAAATTTCTAAAAAAAAAATCACTGTATCATTAAAAAATTATACACAGTTATTATCTCATGTTATAATTTAAATAAGTGTGGCTGATGACCAACATAAGAGAAGCAAAATATAAATGAATATTATATTATGATTCTGTGATAGATTTATGAATTATGGATTGTTTGTATCGTAAAATCACTTTTGTCATTGATACTCGGATTTTTATCTAACATTGACGTACCCATACTAAAAAATTCGACTGATTAGGTATAAGATAATTATTATATTATGATCCATTCATTCAGCGAACGATATGATGATTACGATGTTACATAATTACGTTTAAACGAATAGGTAACCTATATTAAGAAAGTAAAGTATACATAATGTATAATATAATATTATATTATTATATATAAAAATATAAAAAAAATAATAATTGTATCGATGACGTGCCACTGTGCCAGTCACTACTACGAGCCAGCTGATCATAAGTAGACAAATGGTGTTCGCATACCGTCGGTACGTAGGATAAACTATAAAAATATAATAATTTACCTACAATTTATTACTTTAAATCAATTTAGTCATCGACTGTGTTATTCAAAATGCGTTGTGTAAGAAAAAAAGAGAGAGATAAAATCACAAATACAAGGCTGAACAGTATACTGAAAATAACAATCACGTTGTTATGTATGAAATTCGTCTTTTTTGAATTTTCATCAAAAAATGAAACTTGGCATGACGGT